TTAACCCCCAGTTAGCTCTTCGCGTTCATGATATTTGTGAGAGTTGAAAGATTTTTTGAACACATGACAAGTAACTATATTGATTTACGTACGTTACGTCATGTACGTTCTATAAAGCTAACCTTGTACACATAATCTTGTACTGACGTGTTTTTTCTCCAAAAAAGACGTTCTCTTTCAGTTAACCCCCAGTTAGCTCTTCGCGTTCATGGTATTTGTGAGAGTTGAAAGATTTTTTGAACACATGACAAGTAACTATATTGATTTGCGTCAAGCTGGGTGGCCCGAATTTAAATATCAGTGCGTGAACTCAAACGCGTGGTTATTAGAGTTCAGTCGAAATGTACGTGAATATTGCGATCAAAGTGCGCTGTCCAGAGTTTATTATATTATTGTAAAATTTAACTTGACGCATTGTATGGTTTATATTACCTGTTCACTTCATTTCGAATAAAAAAATCACCACCAGTTCGCCAGTTCAGCGCGTGACTTGGGGTCAAACTTCGGTCAACACACACTTGATGCCAGCATCACCGCGCAGCTAGTTTCGCAAAGAAGTACTTCAAGTTCAATTGCGTCCCAAAATTATGTCGCTAATCACTCAGTTGTCGCAGCGTGTGTTGTGTCATGTCCATGATGCACTCCGTTTCGACTTTGACTTGCTTTTCCTTCTTAGTGCATGTTCTTGTTCACGTAAAATTCAACCTCTCACCAATGTATTAAAACACTTTGAATTTATACTTTGCATGATTATATTTGGTCAACGCGAAACATTATTTTTTCTAGACCATTTCTATCAACGCAGGGTTATTTTTTTAGACAAGATGGGCCTCGTAATATCTGCCAAAAGTTTGCCCGGGCGATCTTTTGGTCCACATTTTTCTAAAAAAAAATCTAATCCTCCATAAGATCGCCCAGGGCGGGGTATCAGCCGAATCCGGTATATCAATTCTCAAACCATATTTCTGAATGTAAATATTGAGATTCAAGTACTTCAAGCGGTTTTATTGCTAAAATAAGTTTTCAGCTTTGTGAATTTACAATATTGTGTACAAGTCATTGACTAGGCTGTTATATCTGTCTGTTAGGTCATAGATCCTATGGTTAGATGGACAGTGCATGTACTAAGGACTCATTCATTGATATAGTAAAGTGAATTGAGATACATTATTAAATCTTTAAATATGTACAATCAGGAAATACAAAAAAACCCTGTTTAAAGCCGTTAAAGCATGCAAGTGTTATCAAAGCACTGCCACTTAAATAACATGCTTGAACAATATATAGAGTATTAATGTGTTAAATGTTTGTTTTTATACAAATGGATATGCTAATTAGATAATATTATGCAAATCAGCCACCATACTTGACAGTTTCATGTACCTGAAATCACTGTTTATTATTGTTTCTTATGACCTGCATATAACGCTACATTTTTTTCTTATCAAAGTAATACCTGTATGTATTTAGATGTGAAACAAAGGATCTATAATTTATGACTAATATCACGATTATGATTAAAAAGTTGTAACTTTCAATATACACATATTTTGAGTCATGTTGTGAAGATTGCATGAAAGTCACAAGTTTTGAAGATTTTATTTTTAGTATCCCATGTATTCATTTCATTGATTTTCATTGCCAATATGACATTTTTTTAGTAATATTTTATTGCATCTTTAGAAAAAGTACATTTCTATCAGTCGTTTGCAATAAATATATGGATGAAAACAAAAAAAATTGTAGTACATATACTTGAAATAAAAAAATTATGCAATTTCATTATGTACTTGCCTTGTATATGCCATGTGGTTCTTGAACTCCGGTGCATACATACAGTCCATAACACTACTTAACTTCTCAGAGCTGTAATCACATACATACAGTGTAATTGCTTTCTGTTAATTTCCCCGTTACATGATGTCACATAATACTGACTAAAAAGCTTCAAGTCTGATGATAATAAAAATTTATTCTTTGCTTTGTCTTTTTGTAGTGATGTTGCCACAATTGCAACTTAAAAATACATACTGTAAAATACTTTATTTTAGCTTGGAATAAATTTTCGCTGAGGGAATGATTCGTTACATTATGTATTCAGAGTGCTGATTGAATTCAATTAAAATAAATTGATGCACTACGTGTATCTGCAGTCTTCTGACTGAAATCACAACCAGCTACACATGTACTATTATCTCTATTTATACATGTATGCTATTAAAACACTGAAAATCACAGCCCTAATACATACAAAAATAGTCGAGAATGTTATGAATTGAGTCAATATTAAAACTTTTATTCTAAGCCATTTGTCCTCTATTATACATGTACATATGAAACTGACCAAACCCGGACATGATTTACCAGTATTCTATCATTTTCTCAAGTTGACATATGTCAAGTCAAGTTATCACTGAATATAATCATGGTATCCATGAAAACATCTTTCTTGCATTTTGAAACACCATTTAAGGGTCAGGTCTTTAATGATTTGGGGGGGGTATGTAATTGAGTCAGCAGTGTTCCTGCAAAGTCTTATTTTCCCAAAATTTTATCAGCTAAGGACCCATTTCACAATTTGAGAGAAAATCATTGTAATTTCATAAGATATTTTTTTGAGATGAAATCACAACATTTCTTAGTACCTTTTTACCTATCTTTTACATTCAACTCATCAAAAATCAGTGGAAATAAAATTTATTCAAAATAGCCAGAATGTATAAATTGATGTACTGCCAGGTAAAGGTATGAGTCATATGTACCATGTGGTAGGTGGCTTTACATGTTTGCTACATATACTGCTGTACAACATAATTAAATTTCATCATATGGAAGTCGTGCTGTTGTTGTGGAAACTACATTTAGTTTTAACAACTTTAGGGTACTGTAGGTACAAGTAACTACCCTCTTGTTGAAAAATTGCCAGTATATTTGAAATATGGGTGAAGTTCTCTAGGAATGTCTATTATTACCGATATATTGGTTGAATGCAGAATATGTGAAATATACTTACACATGTACTGATAATCTTTTCACCACCAGTTCCCTCTTTTCATCACAAAATAGCCCTGTTTATAGTCTGCACTTTCCTTATGAAGATGAAGACAAAAATAGCCAAATTTTTTTGAGTAAAAACTGAAAAATGACTCAAATTTTTTTCTTTTGGCTCCAAAGGTAGGGTTCATTTCCAGAATTATTGAAGAATATAAGGAAAAAAATACAGAAAAATTTGGACGAGAAAGTCTGGTGGTAAAAAGATTAAGAGCTTTCATTTTGAGAGAGACAATTTTTTTTTTGAATTTCACAAGTCAGTGAAAATCATGAAATTTTGCAGCAGTAAAAATTTGTTAGGAATCATATGGAAGGTAATGTTAGAGACATTTTTGTCATTACGAATGCCGTGAAATCATCAAATTGGGAAAAATCCTGACAGCAAAAATTATTAGGCGGTTTATCTTATTCATATACATCTAACTGAGGCACAAATAACATTTTTCACTGCAATATATTGTAAAATACTTTATTTTAGCTGGAATTAATTTTAGCTGAAAAGGCTTTTTAGTCGTTTTGTATGGAATTTATTTTCACTGATTTTTGACGAGTTGAATGTAAAATGTATAGGAAAAAGGTATATTCGCTGGATTTTATTTTCACTGAATCATCCCTTCAGCGAAAATAAATTCTAAGTGAAAATAATTTTAGTTTATTAAAGTGGGAGGGTCGTCACATGCCCACACGCGGGAATTGAGGCCCAAGCGATGATAACAACACACGCTAAAAATCAAAGGCTCATGGGTAGAAGCGTGTTTGTAAACAATGACACACTATGGTCATCTGACGCATGTGCAGGTGACGACTTCCCTGCTTTAAGTAATTCACAGTATTTTATCTTGAAAAGTATGGAGCATTTGTGTACTGTCACTTGTTTATAATTCACTGGAGAATTGTAGCAGTCTGTTTTGTAAATTGGCAAAGAATTATTGACTCCATATGGTATCTAGAAAAAAAGTACATGTGCCACAAATTTCTAGGGTCATTGGTGATAAGTTATATTAGTATACACCCATGTAGACTGCCAACTGTATCAGGTTACATTGTGTCATTGTTGTGTGAATAGTGTGGATTTTACTCAATTGTATTCCCTGACAATAAAGAAGTGATTGAATGAAACGGAAATCCCTGTTTGTCATTTCAAGAGACCATTACTATATAAGGGATTATATGGTTTCTCATCATGTTAACATATTTAGAAATGCATCTCCAATACTTTGTACATTGAAAGAGCGCTCTCTCAAAATCAAAAATTGCGTTAACCGGTATTATATGCCAGGTCATTCATATTGACTTATTTTGTATAATACTCTCTCCCTAGAATTTTAAACCTCTGTGGTGGTGTGAATTTACATACTAATTTGCATATCATTTGCATAGTTATTCCTAACAGAAATTGTAATGATTAACACACTGTCAAACCATTTATTTTCACTGACATTTCATTTCCCTATTTTAATGTTTTGAGCATATTCATTGTGTTTTAATTTTAATTTACATGTTCACATAGATTTAATTTATCTGAAAGGTGTATGAGGAGAGATGTCTGTTCTTGTTCTTCTTGTTTTTGTTATAAACCCTTGTTTCTTGTGGTTTTAGTGCAACTATCATTCATAATGAAACAAATTAAGATATATGTAATAGTGGAAATGCTAGTTAGCAAGTGGTTTTAGGCTTGATAAGATCCATGCTATCTGTTCGCCATCGTGACATTGCAGTTTTATACAGACAGTGTGTACTAGTATATTTATTTGCTGAGCCAATTCAAGATGGCAGCCATTTCATTGTTACAATGTATCAATATTAAGCTTTTCTGCCAATCCAGACCAGGATCTCAGCCATACAATATTATTATTATTAACTCATTGCTCATTCCTATATGTATTGTACCTTCAGACCTCATATCTGTCTGAGTTGATGTATTAATATTTATTCATTTCTTATTACAGGAGTTGGTAAGAGTAGTCTACTTCTACGCTTTGCAGATAACACATTTGCAGGTCAGTCTACAAGCTTCCGGCAATGTACTAGATTATAATATATTCCATTTGTTTAGGGGATGTCCATTAGAAAATTGTATCGGCACAGAGGTCATTTTGAAAAAAAAATCCTACATGGAATAAGCAAGATTTTCCAATCTTTATCAAAAAGCCACACACTTTTCATAAGCAAAAGTAGTGTTTGAAATTATGGTCTGCCATATGCCCAAACATTAGTATTTCAGTCGGGCTGGAAAAAATCGAAATTTGCATGCATGTACGGTAACATTTTATCAATGTCTGCTTCAAAATAATTTTGAAAAATGTTCTCAAATGCCTGATACAGAATTTGTGAAACAAAGAACGCAACAATTAAAAATGGGAAATTTTGTTGGCATATGTTGATGGAAATTGAAGTATTTTAAAATAATCGCTAATGCAGGGCTAGTGTCACAATTTTGAGTACCCTGAGAAAAGCCACAATTATTTTATAGCATTTCCATAGAAATTATCTACCCAACAATCAACATATAACAATATAATATTTGTCACTGGTTGGCATTTCAAATTTCATAAACTTGCCCAGACTTGAAATGTAGTTTTAATAAGTAATAATACTTGAGTTAATTAATAATTTGCATAAAGTCTGAACCATTTTTGTATTCGATAATGTCACATACCTACATCTATACGTTACTATGGGTCATTTGTTTGAATGTATTTTACATGTACCATTGAGTGTGACTTAACCAGTCACTTTAAATTTATTCTTCAAAAGACAAACCTGTATGGTTATTGTCGCTTTACATGTAGGTGTTCATTGTAGACTAATTTTGGCTTTCCCCAGCAGGTACCTACATTACGACTATTGGCGTCGATTTTAAAATTCGTACCATTGATGTGAATGGTGAAAAAGTCAAACTACAGATTTGGGATACAGCTGGTCAGGAGCGGTTCCGGACCATTACATCAACGTAAGTAGTCTGGGTTTGTGACTAAAGAATGAATGGCTTCCTACATACCATTACCTGCCAGCATTATACATGTATACATACCCCCCTTCTCCTCCCCCAATAGAATCAAACCATGACAACCAGTAACTTTCATATGATTATAGAAAATAGCAAATTTTGAAGTATGGAACTAGACCCCTGCATGAATTCAAACTCAAGCTCCAGGTTGTCCCTTGATCTCTTCGATGTCAGTTGTTGGTTTTCAAACTTTGTCACATTCAAAATGTAGTTATCAGTTGATTAGGCAGTGTAACATCATCTACCTGCAATATCTTTAATATGTAAATGTTATGTAAACAGTGTAAACAAAGCCATGAATGCACGTTTATAGCAACACAATCAGTTGAATGTGATTGGCCAGTTCAAACTTCAGGTCTGTTTGTCATATTGTAAGTCACGTAATGCACTAATGTTGTGCATTTGTACACATATTTGACCTCCACTCTGGTATGCGGCCTTGTTTTAGTCAAATATGTGAACACATACGGCCCTCATTTTGGTAAAATATGTGAACGAATACGGCCCTTGTTTAGTCAAATATGTGAACGAATATGCCCCTTGCTTTGGCCAAATGTATGAACGAATACGACCCTCGTTTTGGTCAATTATGTGAACGAATACAGCCCTTGTTTTGGTTTAATATGTGAACGAATACGGCCCTCGTTTTGGTCTAATATGTTGATGTAAACTAGCACTAAAACATTTAATATGTATAGGTACCAAACACAAACTTACTGATATCCTCTGCAGTTTCCTCATCTGGGTTTAAATCTCTTTATCACTTATCTCATCCTTAGTTTTGAGATTTTCAAATGCGGCTTATGCCTGTTTTCTTTCCTTTGGGTTTCTTAGTGAGTGAGCACTTGGATGGTCAAGGGATGTGATGTGTTCTAAATTTCGTGGAGAAATTAAAAAGAGGGGTATACTAGCATGCCTGCAAAAACAACGAAAAAGACCATGTTTTGGAAGTCCCACTTGAACTAAACCATCAAATACAAAGAAAAGGGGAAAAGGGGTTTTTTGAGTGCGCCCTCCCCCATATGGCTACTCCACCTCTATTCTAATATTTACTTTCAGAATCATTCTCCATCTCCCAGCCTATCTCATCTTAAAGAGTCAAGGCTCTTTGTTTGTGTTTTTGACTGACTCTAAAATTGTTGCAGCTAGCTTCAAAACTCTTATAACATCTTATGTCAATATCATTTAAAAACAAGACACACAATGCCTGGAATTTCTTTGCATATTCCTTATAGTCTGTACTCAGAGACAAAAAGTGCACCTTTAGATCCATCTTCCGAGGTAGTGAAAAAATTTACAGAAAAATGGCCCGAAGGTACTGTTTCTATGATGTTCTGCAGTGTAAAATCTAGCACATATCTCTAAATTTATACATTTATGTTGTTGCAGATATTACCGTGGTACACATGGTGTTATAGTAGTGTACGATGTAACTGCTGCTGATTCATTTGTCAATGTCAAACGATGGCTTCATGAAATAGATCAGAATTGTGATGATGTTGCAAGGATATTGGGTGAGTATTTCCAGTGGTTCTGTCTAGTCATGTGACCACCACACTTGTGAAATGTGTAAATTTTCAAAATCACAGGTGTTACTGTAAATATATCATAGCCTCTACTGCAATATGAATTTAATTTACATTAATAATAGTAATAATGTTTATTTGCCATAGATTACATAAAAGAATAACAATACAGCAATAAATAATAACTAATAAATATTGATAAATAATAATAACTGGGAGTCATGCTAATCTATAATAATATTTAGTGTTGATCTTTTGGAAAATATTTCTGTTCAACCAAAGCCAGTCTCTGAAACTTCTAAAACAGTAACCTATTTGATTTCCTGCTACACAGTACCTTGTTATAATGAACTCTTTGGGAGACATACAATTAGTTTGTTATAGTGAAATGTTCACTATATTGAAGCACATACTACATTGGGTTTGTTGTAAGCGGGAGACATGTTATGTGTTCTTTATATCAGAAAATTCATTATAAAGGTGTTCATTATATTGAGATTACAGTGTATTGGTAAAACTGTTTTCATTTCAGTTGGTAATAAGAATGACTGTCCGGAGAGGAAGGTAGTGGTAACAGAAGATGCCAAGAGGTTTTCAGAACAAATGGGTATAAAATTATTTGAAACTAGCGCTAAAGATAATATCAATGTAGAAGAGGTAAGTGTACTTGAAAAATGAAATATTATCATGCTTTCTTAAATTCTTTTATATGGGACCACATATTGTACAGAGTTTGATTTTATGTTTTGGACATGATCATATATGGAACCATAAACATCACCCTAAAATAAGCATTTGAATAAATAATACATGACCTTAAAAATAAGAATTTGAATATTTAATGAAACATGACCATACATGGAACCATATACATACCTCAAAAATAAGAATTTGAATATATAATGAAATGTGACCATATATGGAACCATATACATACCTCAAAAATAAGAATTTGAATATATAATGAAACATGACCATATATGGAACCATATACATGACCTCAAAAATAAGAATTTGAATATTTAATGAAACATGACCATACATGGAACCATATACATACCTCAAAAATAAGAATTTGAATATACAGTATAATGAAACATGACCATATATGGAACCATATGCATACCTCAAAAATAAGAATTTGAATATATAATGAAACATGACCATACATGGAACCATATACATACCTCAAAAATAAGAATTTGAATATATAATGAAACATGACCATATATGAAACCATATACATGACCTCAAAAATAAGAATTTGAATATATAATGAGACATGATTATGTTGATTATTTTTCACCAGTGATAATAAGTCATACTAGTTTCATATTTCCTGCTTCAATAGATTCTTATAACTTGTTTAGTTCCATTCTTATTATTATAAAGATGGTCAAACAATGTGATTCACATCTCCATCTCCTATTTAAAGAACAATGTGGTATGGTCTAACATACATTATAACATATTTCAGATTACAGATTTGATGCTTGATTTTCAAATTTACCATTTTTATTATGTAAAGTTGTGTGTTGATCAAAATGCTACTTGTACCAATACAATATGTGTAGTTATTTGGTCATAGCTATAAAACAGTGGCAGATAAAGAAAAATCAAGATGTGATCATCAATCCTCTAGCATTAATCACCATGTGTAATTCACAGGTTATTCATGTGATTAGAGTGTTTTTAAATAGTCATAAAAACACAATAGCGAAATTGGACAAACATTGGTATGGCATATGCATTATAATATTCACGTACTGTAAAATCATTTATTTTCACTAACATTTAATTTCACTATTTTGATGTTTCGAGCACATTCATTGTGAAAATAGCGAGACTAAAACCCAGTGAATAATTAATACATTTACATTATATCTAAATTTTAAGATGATGTATACTGGTAGGTCGTTATAGTAACATTTCTGAAGTTAATTTGACTGTCTGTTTTTAGGACCCAAGTGAAATTTCACTGTTACTAGATTTTGCATAATACTCACAGAATCCTGAAAATTTGTCTATCATGAAATTAAATCAGAAATGTTCAAAGTCTCATAGTTTTGGACTGTGTTCAAAATTATTGTTATTGTATGAAGCCTTTGCTTGGCTCTTTATCTCTGACTACCTTGTATATGACTTTAAATGACATAGACACTAACCTGTTGACGAGAACACTATTTATTCTATCAATTCTTTGACTTGCAGATGTTCAACGCAATCACACAGTTAGTGCTCAATGTGAAAAGACAAAATCAAGAGCAGTTACGGAACAGAACGTCTGACAATATCAAAGTAGATAAAAACAGCAAAAAAAGACATAGGTGTAAAGCATGCTCATAATATTACTTAGTATTAAAATACTATGAAGTCATTGTCACTGTTCCTGTCCCTGTTTTTCAGTAATACTTGGAAGTGCTCTTGTGACTTTGTTTGTCATTTATATATAAATTTCCCCCAGAATAACATGGTTTATTGAAAAAAATAAAAATAAATCACTTAGTAGAGCTTTCAGCGAAATATAATTTAAACTTTCAGAATTTAGTCATGTGAAATATTTCCAGTACAGAGCATTACCAAATTTGACCATGATTGCCATACACTTGTTACCATTCTGTTGCATGGAATTGAGCCCTGGTTACCCAGGTTTTTTAGGACTGGAATTTTAGTTTGTACAATCTGTAAATATCACAGTTTTGTGAATAATATGCGAAAATTGTTGAAAAACAATGTAAAACTAATAGCGAGCAAAGAAAAGCATTTTTAGTCTAATAAGCACAACTTGGTGTCTCCCAGTGCATATAAAAGATGAACATTAATTTCATGCTCATTACATATGCAAATTAGTGATTGACCAATCAGAAGTGTCTTTTTATTTTGATATAAGGAGGACTGGGAATAGTGACAATGACAAACTTAGTTCTATTTTTGTGTACTCTAAAAAAAGTATTATAATTGTTTTATTTCTTGAAGTAATTATGTAACAGGTTTTAGTCGGAATGTCAGCGGGAGTATATGTTTTAAATCCATATATTTCATGACCAGAATTAGTCGTCTTGTATTCATTGTAACCAGTGTGGTATAGACTGCTTTAAAAGTGCAATATTTATCTTGTTCAGGCCAGTTTTGTCTCTATTCAGCATCTCTTTTAATTTTTTAGTAGATACTGTAAAACATGTTGAAAAAGCGGCATGCAATTTTAGCGAATTGTGGTAAAATGGCGTAATAGCGAAATGTTGATTTAGTGAATCTCTCTTGTCATTGTTGATTTCTTTGTTTGGCGGCTATTTTAAATTTATAGAAAAGTCATTAGCGACATCTTGAATTAGCGAATCAGTTCTCTTGCTAAATTCGCGAATACGACATGCTCGCGAAAAAGACATGTTTTACAGTAATTTGATTGAAACAACTGTTATGATCATTGCCTTCAAAAACTACATGTGTAAGCAACCAATCAGAGCCTGTGTTACATGTGTAAGCAACCAATCAGAGCCTGTGTTACATGTGTAAGCAACCAATCAGAGCCTGTGTTACATGTTGTTTTCTCGTAAACAATGCTCTGAATAGTTGAATATATTCGTCGTACACTGGTGACTGGATTAAAGCAACTACACACAAGATTTTAATCAGATTTATTTCGTAGAAAATCTATGACTAGACAAAATAAGAATAATTGACATTTAAAAACTTGATCAACTGTTCGTAAATTATTGCGTAATTTTGTTCACAAGACGACGAAAGTTGCTCAAGTCAATTATTATTTGTTGCATGATCTCCAAAATAGCTTTCATCATATCATGGAACCTGGACTCCCTCCTACCGTGAAGTATTTAGTTAGAGATAGTGCCGTTTATATCCTGCCACTTTGGATATTTATTGAGTTCTACAAACTTTATTCAATTTATTGCGCGAAAGTTGTAGCATTTTGTAAAGCTCAAAATACCTCAGTACATGATTATGTCTGCGACCTGATTATATAATTACTTAGAAATATGATGCGACCATAGATGATTCAGCTAAGACCCATAGATTGAATTATAAAGTTAGATTAATTAATGTACAATTTGTTTGTAGCGATTCACAGTTATTTACAAAAGAAATGTTTTGCGTTCATTGTTGATTTCTACAAGATCATTCAATGTTTTTTTCATTTCTAGAAGCTCTTGCGCTGCATAAGGGATTACATGCTTGTAGTTTAATTTTGAATTGAGTTTTAATAAATTTTTCAAATATTTCTTTGTTTAAGAATAGTTTGAGACAAATCTGCATATTTTTTTTGTTACTTTCCATACACTGAGAATTAAGAGCGCCACCACAGGCGACTATTTGCCACATGTTGATGTTTTGAGCATTTATTGTATTTTTAGCATGTTTAACTTTTTTCTTAGCAGAGAAGTGTTCAATTGATGACTTTGTATATATATAAATATATATATCTTATGTACTAATCTTGTTAAATCATGACTTAAAATTAACCTGCCTGTTATATCTTGCATCCCCTATCATTTTCACCAGATAGAACCATCTCCCATAAGCGTGAATGGAAACATGTATTATTCCATTGTTAAAATAGGGGACATAGGTTACAAATAGGCTGACAAACATAAGTTCTTCCAAGTTATTTTCTTGCATTATACACAAAGTGGGATTGTTGTACAAGCAATGTATATTAATTAGGCTTTAAGTCATGGACCTTCATTTTAAATGAGAATGGAGGATCTCCAACATTGGGCACTGAACTTAATGTCATACAGACTTGATGTTTATTAATCATATCAAAGTAGCCTTGTTCTGTGCTCTTGTAAGAAACATTTGTCTTCGGGGTTTGACCATTAGAAACTTTGGGGAGGTTTTGAGAAACACAAATTCTGCATGGAGAAAATTTTTTAGCAAATGATCAAACCCATTTTGGTTTTCCACGTAATGTCATTTGTGAATTGTTAAGACAAGTCGCTAATTAAAAATGATCTTTTGCATGCCAATTGATGCCTTGATTGTGCATCCATTTTCTTGTATATGATTGTCAATGAAGATCACAGTCAGCTCACATATAAGGGGTAACATAAGTAAATAACTTCACTGATATTTACTGCATCTGTCTTGAATTCTCATCAGACCTGTTTTGTTGCGTTCTGCCAGGATTCAAGATGTCTGCCCTAGTTACTATCGATGATTCGCTGCAAGACTCTGCATTATGCATGAAATTAAATAGCATTATAGTGGCCTCAAAACATCATGTAGGATTCAACAAATTCAAAACTATTTTGGGGTGTTTCAATGCTAAATATTGTGCTAATGGTCAATTTTGATGAAGTAAGGGTATTCCAATGCCGTATTTTGATTTGGTCTGCGCCACACTTTTCATGTTAAAGAAATATTTAAGCAATAACTGATGTTCCCTTGAACAGTTTATTTAGAATACTACACCCACAATTCTTTGCATTTCCCACAATGCACTATTTCTGACAATTCCAGCTGCTGTTAGTTCATTTTAAAAGCTGTGTATTTGTCCCACGAGAAAATTTAACAGTTTAGAATTAAACACTCATCTGTTATGTATGTACCTCTGTTTGTCTGTGTGAATTATTTCATAATGTATGATTTTGCTTACACGTTGCATAGAAGAGTATATTCAAGACCCCAAAAGGTCGCGCATCCTGGTACTATGCAGACCCCAAAAGGTCACACATCATGTTTTATGAAATGTGAGAAAAAAAAAACAATTGTTACAGCTATCGCCACACAAACTGTACATTTCTCCATATCTAAGAACAGATTCAAAGTTCACATTCTGCAGGAGTTCTTACTTGGCATCTCTGGAGTTCTCCAAAGATCAAAATATAGCTGGGGTCCCCTACTCCATGACATCACCATGAATGCAGTAGAGGTGAATAAAACAGGAGGGTCGTCACCTGCACATCCGTGGGAATTGAGTCCCAAGCAACGAAAACACACACACTATAAACGCAAAGGCTCATGGGTAGACACTTGTTTGTAAACAATGACACACTATGGCCATCTGACTCATGCGCAGGTGACGACTCCCCCGCTTTAACATATGATTTGTTATGCAAATTAACTGATGTAGCACTATGCTAATACTGATATCCTCACGTAGTTACGTTCCTGTGGGAGGCAACAAGAATCAAGTCCAGGTAACAGATGATTTGTGTACAAATAAGACACGCACTAAATACTTGCAAAGATAATTTATTATACAATATTTGTTTAAACTGTTGCACATCATAAGGCATCATTACCATTACCCAGAATTGTTTGTACAATAACTGAACCAAAGATACAAATTTTCATCCAAGAAACTTACATATGATATGCAATTAATCATAAAGTCACACTAATGAAATGAAAGTCTTTTTACAATTCTATATGGATATCAGTCTTGAATAACAATATTAGTCAAAAAAAAAGCTTCACTGCCAAGTACACTCGTGTATTTATGTTAAAAAGTGTTAAAGGCGCATGTTGCATTTGTGTCAAAATTTTTAGATAGGTTATTTAAGGTAAAATAACCTTGGTGAAACCAAATGATTTTTGCATGGTAATAATTGTCCTGTCAAATGATGTATGCTTATGATTAAGAATTGTAATAGATTGAACTGTCTATGTGCTGTTTACATGTGCACAGCCCACTGTCTAGACACTGTTTACATGTGCACAGCCTGTTGTCTAGGTTCTGTTTACATGTGCACGGCCAGCTGTCTAGGTGCTGTTTACATGTACACAGCCAGCCGTCTAGACACTGTTTACAAGGGCACAGCCTGCTGTCTAGGTGCTGTTTACATGTGCACAGCCAGCTGTCTAGAAACTGTTTACATGTGCACAGCCAGCTGTCTAGGTGCTGTTTACATGTGCACAGCCAGCTGTCTAGGCGCTGTTTACATGTACACAGCCTGCTATCTGACACTGTTTACATGTGCACAGCCCACTGTCTAGGTGCTGTTTACATGTGCACAGCCAGTTATCTAGACACTGTTTACATGTGCATAGCCAGCTGTCTAGACACTGTTTACATGTGCACAGCCTGCTATCCGACACTGTTTACATGTGCACAGCCTGCTATCCGACACTGTTTACATGTGCACAGCCTGCTGTCTAGGTGCTGTTTACATGTACACAGCCTGCTATCTGACACTGTTTACATGTGCATAGCCAGCTGTCTAGACACTGTTTACATGTGCACAGCCTGCTATCCGACACTGTTTACATGTGCACAGCCCACTGTCTAGGTGCTGTTTACATGTGCACAGCCAGTTGTCTAGACACTGTTTACATGTGCATAGCCAGCTGTCTAGACACTGTTTACATGTGCACAGCCTGCTATCTGACACTGTTTACATGTGCACAACCCACTGTCTAGACACTGTTTACATGTGCACAGCCAGTTGTCTCGGTTCTGTTTACATGTGCAAGCCTGCTGTCTAGTTGCTGTTTGTATGTGCACAATCTTGAATAACACTGCTATTATGGAAGACTGAAAGTCCACTGTAGCAAGATATTTCCTATTTTTGAGCGCATATATTGTGAATGCATGAATTACATTTACATTGAAAACTTTTTTGCCTTCTAAAATCATCCAAGATGAAAAGTTGATGTTCAGATTTACCCAACAGAACACTCACATCTACTGTAATGTTGTGATTATAAACTTATTTGGCGACTGAACCAACAAATAAACTGTCCTGACACGCACATTGACTGATTCGTTCATCACTCTCTCCATGAACAGTAATCTGGAACATATGCTAGCTCCAAATACACTGTCTCTTCACCTCTTTCATTGATAATGAAGTTGATTTCAGAAGCTTACCAAGCTAATATCGTCTATAGTTATGTAAACTGTAAACAAGTCAATGCATAATGTGCATATGCATCTAATAAAATTCCCAAACCATAAAAAATCTACATATCTCTAACAAATTACACACCAACAAGACGGCTTTTCTATATATACACATCTCTGTGTGAACTCATTAACTTGACAGTAACTATTAAAATTCACATGACTCCCACAATCATTAAACCAAATTGGTATCTTGATATAGGAAGAAAGCTGATAGATTTTAGGAATTCCTACTATACATAGACTAGTAAAACATATTGTGGACTCAGTTTAAGACAATGAACTGTTCACAAGGGCTGATATAAATAAAGCTTATGTACTGTATGGAAAAAGTTTTAAAACATGGAAATTCATATCACATTTTTCAATTACAGATGGTTTTTAGTTATGCATTAATTCTAGAGATGTAATAAAATAAAATGTACAGTAATTTTGGTAACAAATGTTGACAATGCACATCAAGACTTGATAAAATTGACGTTTTCACTTCGCAGTGTTTCAAGACTTCCCTCTAGCACTCTTCATGACAATAATAACAGAAAACAAATCACACTGGTGTCATGCTAGTATTGATCATTTGTAGGTATCGTGGCATGTAATATTACCATATGTATGGTATTGCAAACTTGTTGGAAGTTGAGTTGTTACAATCATCAACTCCTACCTATTCTCACCAAACTACAAACTTTTGAAGAATTCCTGATATCAAACATGATAGCTGCTGATAGCAGCATGATGGTGCTGTCATACCTAATTCATATTTGTGGGTTTGCTTTGTAATTCTGGAATGAATAGTAGTAGTCGTGGTTTCATCGCTCCATGTTTTGATGATCGAGATATTATGGGCTATCCATGTTCTTAAAAACAATTGAAACGTAAACTACAACTCGACTAGCAGCTACATGTATATGACAAGTTTGATGTACACTAAAAAATTACATGAAAGAGAAACTAATCAAACAGCCTAAAGCACAATCAACTTTACTTTATTTCAATTCCAATATACACTTTGCAAATTAACAAATAAAAATCGATAAAATCTAGATTAGCAATAAGCACGTTAAATGATTTCCATTAAAATGCCTAGTCATCACACTTCAAAATTCTTCTAAAAAATAACAAATCTCCAAATAAACAAAATAAATTACACTTTCACCACAGGAGGGCGCACTACAAAATTACAAAGGTTGATTGTCATAAACAATTTGATGCAACACATTCAAAATCACAGACATTCATCGGTTTCAATGACATGCAAGGCTGATATATGTAGATCAGATGGTAGGTCAACTGGTCAAAATAATTTAGGTCAGTCAAGCTAACATGCATATCTTAACTGTATGCATGATACTCGATTCAATCAAGAATAAATCTGTGTTTCACAAAGCTCACAATCAAGACTGCTCGTTGAAACTCTTAATAATTATATATTATTTGACTTTCATTTACGTGATTTCAACTGGTTCTAGTAATTATTGCAATATGAATAAATTTGACATAATTAATAAATACTATCTTTGGAGCCACATGTTCTAGTTTCTTGGAAAATTGTATACTGGCAAAATATGTAAAATTAAAACTTTTATCCAATAATTTATTCCATGCACAGCTGGTGTAATTTTTTCTTTGGAATTATTGTTAAAGCCATCGTTAAACTGTTTGGTTTTCCAATTACATCTCTATACATTTTTGAAAAATAGCACTAAATAGGACAGATCATGATCATACATTTATTGTACAATGTAAGGTTGTCTTATTAAAGCTGAATTCACACTTTACAAAGATGTGAAAAAACAGTCTCGAAATAAGCTTAAAACAGAAAATGTGTTGATATAGTTTTAGCTAAAAAAATATAATAAAAATAGATATCCTGCCCGCACTTTCACTTTCATTTTGTGAGTATGGGAGGATCTTGTCCTTTAGACAAAAAACCTACAATGCACTAACTTTCAAAGACAAATCAAAGAACACTTAGAAAGAACTCCCGTTTGCTAAGAGTATTGGAGAAATATTAAAAATAATTTCAAAATTTAAGATTAGGCTTTCAAACAAGAAGCTTGGCAACTAATATTTGTCTGCTATTTGAGATGCACTATGTGAAAACAATGTAATCCACATTGAAGTTTATAATACTTACAGAAAATACATTCGATTTTAAATCTGTGGTTTTCAGTCTAATTTATTCCAGAGTAACTCTATCACAAGTTCATTTTAACTTTGATTTTTCAGAAATTGGAAATTGGTTTATAATTAGATAATTAATATGCATGTTTTTCAACATCACACTAGTCTTTGGATACCCCCAAAGCATCTATGAACCTAATTTCAATGAAATGTGATGATTGTGTACATTATGCAAATTAGGCAATTAGTATGCTCGAATTTCAATCCAAAACTAATCAAGTCTTTAGCATTGTTCCCAGGCACTTATATACCAAGTCTTATTGAAATGCAATTATTAGTTTTTGAGATATAGGTAGAAAATTAGTAATTATTATGCAAATTAAGCAATTATTATGCATAGATTTCAACCCCAAATTAATTAGGTCTGTTAATTGTTCCAGTGCACATATGTATCAAGTTTATAATGTGATGATTATTTCTCAAAAAATTGGTGGAAATCCAAAAAGTAAAGTATTATGCAAATTAGGTAATTATTATGGATGTATATAAACCCAAAACTAATTTGTCGCACTATCTTAGAGTATTTATATACTAGAGATTCATTGAAATAAGATAAATACTTGAGATATAGATGGAAAAGCTGAAAACTGACTATTATGCTAAAAAGGTAATAAGCACAGATTTTAATGTAACTAATAAAGTCTGCGCAAGGTCACAGATCATCTATGTACTACCGGTAAGTTTGGAACAGGCAGATAGACACACACACACACATACATACATACATACAGACGCACTAACTGCAAAGGCTCCCATTGCGTGTTTCGCACACAGGAGTAAAAAAATCATTCCAATATTGTTTACAAATCTAGCTTAATTTGGGAGACTCCTTAAATTCATACCCTGCATCTGAATTCCTATTACCTATCCACAATCTCAACATTTTATGATATATTGGTCAAAGAATGGCATCTCACAACTTTACAAACTGGGAATCCAACACTGTAATCTTTCCTGTCAAAATATTGGTGCATCATTTTTATCGACTGATAATTTTCTATAATTTTTTTGTTACTTTTGAACCAAAAGGCAAATCACACCACAGCAAGAAAACTTATAATTACAACACATGTTAATCTGTGACTGAAAGCATCAAACAAGTTCAAAGACAGAATTAAGTTTGAACAGGTACATAATTCTGTTTGTATCAATGACAAAACAAATATTCACTAAGCTAGGGCACCCACATTTTGATCAGATAGCTAGGGAGTCATTTTGAATTGTTATCGATATCTATATAATTTATAAATTGAAAGATTAACAACTCCTATTGAGTCACCGGTCTTAAAAACCCAACCAATGCTTCAACATCCCTAAATAACTTGAAACTTTGAAAAATATTGCCAGTCTACCACACACTGGAAATCACTATTTGTACATTTGCTTTCACAGATCGTTACAATTGATCTACTATATTTATTGTATGCGAGCAAAAAAAATGGAGTTGCATATCTACGTACCATGCACCCATTTCTTTTTCAGCTTACATTACCAACTCACAGACATCATAAGTATTGTCTTTGACAATATTTGCTACACAAATCAAAATCAACTCAACATGGATAGTGCATTGCATATAAATACAAACCAAATACATAACTCTCATTCTCTGAATCATTTTCATCTCTAGATGATGCTGTTTTACGATGTGCTGCTGCTGGTACGACCATCACTTGCACCACCATGAGTGAACCACGCATCTTGTTTAGGTTTATAAGTACCGTCTACTTGGGGTATATTCTCCTGTGATCTCAGAAACCTTTCTAGTTTATCAACACATGCTTCCTGGTAATCATGAATCCACCTGTTAAAAACAAAGTAAAACAATGAATGTCAACTTGAGGGCGTGTGTGCATACCTGCCATAATCAGAAAATAGGCCATAGCCCACAACCAAACACTGATGGCCACATAAGCTATTTACACTTATAAATTTGGTAAATATGAATTACATGATATTTAATTAGCTGAAAAGGGTCTTTTTTTGTGAACACAGTAACAATGTTACGTCTAGCTGCTGTAGAAGGTCTATACAGTTGACTCTCATATGGGATCAAGTTCTTATTCAGAAAATCATCCTTCTATTCTCAACCAATCAATGATTGCAGCTTTTCTTTCATTTGTAATAATTGCTCACTTACTGATCCACCCAATATTTGTACTTGATTTATTCATCCATACTACAAAATTTTTCTATACTTACTTGACCCCATTAAAAAACAACACTTGTCTCATATCCTCAGGTAGATTCTCCGGTGCTGGCCACTTGAAATCCCATGTAACTGGAACTATATTACACTTACTCTCTATAGCAGTCACTATCTCCTAATGTAATATATGAATAAATAGAAAATCACTGCCTGCTATGCAAATCACTGACTGCTATGCAAATCACTGCCTGCTATGCAAATCACTGACTGCTATGCAAATCACTGACTGCTATGCAAATTCACTGACTGCTATGCAAATCACTGACTGCTATGCAAATCACTGCCTGCTATGCAAGACACTGACTGCTATGCAAATCACTGACTGCTATGCAAACCACTGACTGCTATGCAAATCACTGCCTGCTATGCAAATCACTGACTGCTATGCAAATCACTGACTGCTATGCAAATCACTGCCTGCTATGCAAATCACTGCCTGCTATGCAAAACACTGCATGCTATGCAAATCACTGCCTGCTATGCAAATCACTGACTGCTATGAAAACACTGCCTGCTATGTAAATCACTGCCTGCTATGCAAATCACTGCCTGCTATGCAAATCACTGCCTGCTATGCAAATCACTGACTGCTATGCAATCACTGACTGCGATGCAAATCACTGCCTGCTATGCAATCACTGCCTGCTATGCAAATCACTGCCTGCTATGCAAATCACTGACTGCTATGCAATCACTGACTGCGATGCAAATCACTGACTGCTATGCAA